ATAAATTTCCTGAATCCTTCATCTAGTCTCTGCAGTTCTCACAATGATATAAATGAGCCTAGCCCTGGTCTCAAGCAAAGGGACTTGCTTATACCATGTGCGCTAAAGGATAAACATTAAACATTGGGATATAAGTAATCGAGGCTCTAGTTCTTTGCTTGACCGCAGAACCAGGGAAGTTGTCCTAACTCCTCTGCTTCATTGTCTTTATCTGTAAATCATAGTATCTGCCTCATGCTAATGTTGAAGATCAGTTAATTAAATATGTTAACGCTCTTTTAGGCTTCAGCTCAAATGGGGAATGTTGTTTAAAGTATTGGTGTTTACACACAAAAATAGTTTTAACAACTCCACTACTATATAAGGACACAAGTCCTTATCTAAGTCTTAATGACTTTTATTATTTTGGAGCTTATTCAATTTTGTGTGTTAACTTTTTTTTCCTTGATAGATGCAACTAGGAGACGAGCTTTTGGATTAGTTTCTCAGGCATATACTTCAATAGTTGCCGATGATTTTGCAGCCTTTGTTGGACTGCCTGTAGAAGAAGCCGTGAAAGGTATGAAGAGGATGCTTTCACCTTTTAAACCCCCTCCATCCCCAGAAAATCCGTATCCTTTATTCTGAGCTAGAATATGAATTTTCTGATAGGTTATGACTGGGGAGCATTTTGACCCATAATTAAATTTTAATAACGGTTTAATGTAGTGGTGCTAAACTTTTTTTTTCTTCCCAGTGGACCAGATGGGCAGTGCCTTGTCTGTCTAAGCCCATAGCCCATTGGTGATCCCAGTCTGGCACCGAGGCTGATGCAGTGGGCAGCATCCAGCTATGCAGAATGGGGCAGGGGCAGTCCAACTGCAACATGGCCCTGCTGGGGAAGGGGAATGTAGCTTGGCCCAGGCATGGCCCTGTGTGAGCAGAGCCACGGCCTGGCTCCATGGGGGAAAAGGGGTGTGCATGGCCCACCCTGAAAATGTCCTTGGGGTGAGGGGGTATCACCTGGCTCCAGCCCAGCTTGGAGCCGGGGGGACAGCCCAGCCCCAATCCAGATGCAGGGGAGGGGGCATAGCCCATCTGTGACCAGCAGTGCGGGGCTTTGGGTCTGGGAATCTGGTAGGGGGGAAAGAGGCTAGTAGTGGCCCCCACTCTCCTGCCACCCATGAGTCAGATGCAGTGACTCTGGGGGCTGCATTTTGCCTGCAGGCTGGAGGTTGATCACCCGTGGATTAATGCGTGGCCCTTTGTAATAGAATGGTTGATAACTTTTAGCCTGAAGTCTTTCTATAACAGGGAACCTTTAGTAAACGTAATAATAGAGAGGTACATTTTGTTTAAACCTAATTTTTTATCACACTAGTAAAGTTTTGCTAGTTGACAGCATTGCCTAGTTCATATTTGTTCTCATTTTGCATTTAAAAATAAAAGCATAAACAGTCAGATTTTCAATTTAAATAATATGACACATCAACTGTCATGAGTTTTCTGTACAGGTTCTGGCTCTCTAGTTAGTAAGTGAGGAGAAACCTTTGCCCTCTTCAAAATGAGAATTTCTCCCATCTTTGAAGTCTGCCATTGCCAGAACAAAAATGAAAGTGCAAGTTTTGAATCAGACTCCTGGAATAGGTTCCAAGAGACCCCTGTTTCTAACAGCCCTGTACTTTTGTAAAACAGGCTTATTTTTTCGTGCAAAATGTGTAATCAGAACTTGAAGCAGGGATTGGAACCCAACTCTCATCGTCCATGGTTTTGTGGGAATGCACTCATCACTGGGCTACAGTTGTTCTCACTTTTGCTTGCTGTTCTTCTGACTCCGTGACACTTGCACTGTTGGGTGCATAGTGACTTCATGCAGAGGGGCAATGTGACTGCACCCTAACCTGGTGTCTAGCTTTCTTGTTAGGGCACTCTCCTGGACTTGAATCCTCTCAGGCCTCACAAGTTACTGAACTCTTGCTTTGTAAGCAAGTCCTCTAAGCTTTAAGCTGTCATATAAAGGGAGGCAACTACTCCTGCCATTTAAAAAAAAAATGGCTATGGCTACTGTGCTTAGGGTTGAACTCAGTGCTGTTGGGGTATGCTTGGTGCAGTTTGAGTATATCCACTGGATCAGCCAGTGGCAACATCTTCAGGAAAAATTCAGGTGTATAAGTCACTTTAAGGATGAAAGCTTAGGCACTTCAGCCTCTTGAGCACCTAAGCAGTACAGTGGTGGTTTGTTCACTTGGACTTCAGTTTTTAAGTTCCTCCTATGTTGCACTTTAGATGCCTAATTTTTTTTTTGTACTGGCCCAAAATGACAAGACACATGGCATGAGACATGAGTTCTAAAAAATGAATCTCTCCATAGCATATAGTCAGAGGGTCATCAGACACTTTCCACTGAGTGGAAACTGCTGACATCAAATAACGCCAGCTTTTTGCATTGCAGTTGAACACAGAGGTTATCATTTTGTTCTGTTAAATTTCATAATGCATTTTCAGGTGTATTGGAACAAGGCTGGCAAGCAGACTCAGCAACTCGTATGGTAATGCCTAAAAAGCCAGGTAGGTGGAGCTGTTATTCCGTGAGGCATGGAGTCTGGCTTTGTGAATAGTATAGCTGCCCTTAGTATAATTAAAATTATGCATAATGTAAGTTCATATTTTGTAGCAAGGTCTAATGGAGACCTCTAGAACACAGAGTCCCCATAAAATGTTATGTAAGAAATATGAATCAATAAGTCAAGGCCACAAGCATTATTGGTTAAACTAAAGTTTTCGAGAGTTAGCCTTCTTAAACAAAAGCAAACAGGATATGCTTATTTTCTCCTACTGCTTCTAACGTAGTGGAACATATGTTGGATGACTTCAAATGACATGTCTTAATTTAACAAAGATCAGTAAAGTACTGTTTTGAAACTCCCCACAGTTTGAAGCTATGCATGGATTTTTTTTTCCCTCCAGGATAATCTCCAGTCCTTTACTGGTGGGATGTGAAAGGCTCTTACTTCCTGTGTTCTGGTGTACTTAAACAGTTGGAAATGAAGTAGCCAAACCTCCTAACAAGCTGCTGACTTAAGCTCTATGGGTGGCTGTACACATGCAGAGAGGCTGCCCAGATGCATTGTAATTACAATGTGCAATTACTATGGTCCAGCAGGCTTCAGTACTGCATGTATCAGTGTCCCTAATGCTAAAAATGGCAGGGGTGCTTTAAACTAGACCTGCCTTAGGATCAACAAGCCTTAGTTAATGTGCCCCCACCACCATTTTTTCAGTGCAGGGACACTGATGCATGTGATGCTGTGGCTGCTTTTTAATTAGAGCAGCTCTTGGAGTACATCTGTAAATGCCCTATGAATCTGCTGTTTAATCCTCATTCAACGTAAGGATTCCACAGTAATGGAGATAATAAGTTTATTAATTGAATGTACTATGTTGAGTATTTATACTCAACATTGTAAGAAAGTAGTAAACTTCATACAGACCTTTCAGGTATGGAGGAAGTCAGTCAATTGTATTTGTCTCAACATAGCCATACTTTCCATGTCTAACTTCCTGTGCTTTTGAGATGGGATTATGTGCTTCATGACAACTTTTTTTTTCAGACTGTGACATATCTAGAAACTCCATTATCAGTAATATTACTGGAAAGTATTTGGTATTAATAAAACCAAGGCCAGAAATTGTTGCTATTTAAAAGATTATGAAGGGCTGTGATCTTGCTACTGTACATTTTACCATAAAAAGTGACTGGCCTGAATTTTTCTAGCTTGAATTTTGAACATACAATTTCTCACCAAGTTTTCTTGAAAATCTGACCAGTTAGCAGAGGAAAATGGACAACCTGCCCAGTAGGGCAGTTATCATCCATACTACTATTGCAGGTGTATGTAGCTAATTATGAATGCTTTTGCAAATGCGGTATGTAAAAATGAACAGTCATTAGCTTTACTTCATTTATCTAACAGTATTCATTCTGTTTCTGAGGTGATATGTTATTTTTTATGAGCCTCAGATTTTAAATGAACAGGCTTTTATAGTATAAAGCCAAAACTTCCACTGGAAAAAATTAACATAATGGTGTCTAATTGGATATTGGACAGTTTTGGTTAAATACATATTGTGGTTAAAGTAATGGGTCTTTCAGTAAGTTAATGTTCCTGTTGTATTTTTTCCTTTAGGTGCACTGGAAGCTTCCTTTAACAGGTTTAATCCTTCTTCAGGTATTTTATTTTTAAGATGTATAATATACATATGAATTGCTGATTAACTGGAACTTAAGCATCCTTTTTGCTCATAGATCAAAGAAATCACTGGTTAGCCTAGCACTACCTTCCCAACAATTCCCAATGAAGCTCACAAACCCCCAGTATCTTGCTCATTTAAAGAAAATACTATCCCTCCATTTAGAGCATCCATTTCCTCTAACGTCCATGTTACAAATTAAATTTGTAATAATCCCAACAGGCCAGTAACTCCCATGGAATATTAGATCATATGAAGAGTTGGTTCCAAAGCAGAAGCACCTTCTGAACTGTCAGTCTCTTAAACTGACTGGGATCCAGCTGGGTTTTCTCAGTTATTTCATTGCCCTGGAGAGAGGTAGTTTGTCAAGTATCTAACTCTCAGAAGTTTAAATAAGCGTTAAATCCTTTGTGCATTCAATCCCCTAACTTTTCTTTAGAGGAGGGATTTAAAGTGGAGGAAATCTCAGCTTACATCTTCAATGGTATTTTCCTGACTGAAACAAAAGGCCAGACATTGTGCCTTTTAAACTTGATTTTGACACCCAGAGTTTTCTGCATTTGTGTTTTATACAAGTAAGCAATATTGGGAATAAATCTCAGTTTTCAGTTTCTCATGTCTGATATAGAAAATAAACTTAGATTTCCTGGAAGCTTCATGTTCCAACTATTGGAGCTCCAGTCGAATGCCCCAGACTCTTCAAGCCTCCCCAGTGCATGTGTAAAGGTGCTCTTAGGGCCCAAATAGGTAATTTTTCCCTTCTTAATCCTGCAAAACAAAAATATATTTGAGGGTGTCATGATTCCAAGTATTAGATTATTTCTGAATTGGCTACTGGGTTGGTAAGGAAACATCCTGAGAAGTTTAGCTCCTATGGTTTCTTTTTATGTGTGGTGCAGGAACTGTGATGGGTGTGTTGGGCTCTGAGTTCTACATTTTTGCCTAATACCGAATGTGTTTGTCTTTACAGAACCTGCTCCAGTTCCACCAATTCCTAATGAACAGCAATTGGCCAGACTGACTGACTATGTGGCTTTTCTTGAAAACTGATTGTCCCAGTCCTGATTTCAGGACAGAATCTGAGAATCCTGTGTACTGGTAGTGCTGGAAGTCTAAAACTTATTTTTATCCTATTTGTTCAATGTTGCAGCATCCCCTACTGGAATGTGTTAAATATTTATAGTGTATATTTTGTCCCTTTGTGTTTTTATAAGGTCTGAAGTTGAAACTGTCCCTTAACTCCAATGCTATTTATCCATTAGGAGTGCAGAAGTATTATAAGTCAAGTTTTATTCCCCTGCAACTCGCATAATGGGAAAGGGCATATCTCTCAAAGTATACTTTAATAAAGCAGCAGATGTAGAAGGGAAATGGCTCCCAACAGCAAGACATGTTAACTGATAGGTCTCTTGTGCTGGTCATCTTGATACTTCCCTTGTCGTCAGTGCAGTGCTTGCTTGAAAATAAGACACCTGTCACAAACAGGTTAAGTATAAAGAAGGGACAACTATTCTACCTACATCACAAGATAAACCATTGTGACCTAAGATAAGTAGTTATGATCTACACATGACCGAAAAACTAATCTATAGTATCCATTATTTTTCTAAACAGTTCCTGTTGTTCTCAGGGGGGAAGGGGGTTATTTAATTGGTCATTCTTATATCCTATTGCTTACCAACTTGCGGGTCATCGTCTTCTTCCCACATCTGGAAAGAATTGTTTTGTAGCACAATGCACAGCAGAATTATGCGTTTGTGGTACCTAGATAATCAGCTTCAGAGGCATTGAGGGATAAAATGCAAATGTGTACTTTGTTTTGCAAAAGCATTTTCATTTTGAAAGGCTGTAATTTTTAAGGGCAACCACATTTAAGACTCCAATCTGATATTTTGCTTTTGTAACTCTTTAAAAAAGGCCATTAGAGCCATGGTACTCTGTATCCACTATGTTAAGGGTTGGCTTTACCAGTAATGGCTCTGCCTGTCTTGAGCTGGCTGGATTTCTCTTGTAGTTGAGTAGATGGCCTTAAGTAAAACCTACTTTATGCTGCAATGTAGTTTATGTACTTCTTGCACCAGAGCACTGCTATATTAATCCTTGAATTCAGTATGAACTTCAGAAGTGGAAAGGAAGCATATGCATTTACTTGCCTCTGATGCGAATATAAAAATATAAAATGGGACTTTGGGTAAACAGTGGTGCTTTAAAGGGCAGTGTATGCTTTTATCCACCTCTCTCTCCCTTCACTTAGTTTTCAACATCACGTTCAGTGGTTTGTCACATGAAGATGGCAGGTTCCTGTTATCTGTAGTGACACTTTCTCCCAGTGTGCACTACCTACTGTACATTATTGTGTGTACAAGGGAGAGGGGTCTTAAACTGTGCACTGTTGTTTTCAGAGCCCCTTTTCTGAGTAACCATTTCCTCTCAAAAGATTTATTTATTTGAAACCCATCCAAGCTTGGGATCTTTAAATACGATGCAGATATTTGTGATATTAAAACATGTTTACACTAAGTGTGTATGTGTGATTTTGATTTCTTGCAGAAAGTATAAATATTCAAAGCTCATAGCTACAGAGTTTTGGGTTACTGTATTTACCAATTTATTAACCCTCCTACAGCTCTAGTATATTCAGCCAACATAACTATTAATGAAGTTTACATAAAGATGTATGATTTTGTTCATATAAAAATAGTGAGAGTCCTTAAATATTTTACAAAGTACCCAAAGAGCATAGGAAGAATGTAGCCATCCACTACTAATTGATAAGTCACTTGACTATTGTGGTCTTGCATTGCTGTTTCTTTGCTTTTGCTCTTCATTCTTAATTTCATATTTTTTAGTGAGTTTAGTATTTTTATTTATGCCCACTGAAAAGCTCTTCAACTATTTAATAGTTTTTGTGTCATAAACCCACCCTGAAACTTTTAGAATCTTTTAATCTTGTTTTGCATCTTTGTCTTACTCTTGGTGTCATTTATATGAAATGTGAAAGAAATGTCTCTTTGGTTCCAAGTACAACTATTTTGCATTGGCTCATGAGTTATAGGTACTACTATTGACATTTAAACAGTGTTTTGAATGAATGCCAGTTACATGTGAAGATAGCACATACTTCTCTAAGCCTGCAAGCCAAATGCAGCTGTAGAGCCATCACTACAGGTCAGGAAATTTGGCAGCATGGGAGCAGTAGCTTTTAACAAGGCCACACTCCCTGCTGCAAGTTCCCAAACCCATGCCCCATAGGGTCAGTTGGCTGGGCCAAGCCAGGCTGTGACCCCTTCCCTTGTTGAGCTGGGCCACGCACCTTTCTTCCTCTTGGGTCCAAATTGGGATATATTTACAGTCCCTTACCACACAGGGCTGGGCCACGTCCTCTTCCCTTTCTGCTGGGCCAGGTTATACTTCTTTCCCTTTTCCCTGCATTGAAACAGGGCTGTATTGAGGCTGTCCTGCCCCCTGCTCCCCTCCATGCAACCAGATGGTGCCTGCTGTGCCCTCTGAGGACCTGGATTGGGAATGCCAGCTGCCTCTGCCTCTGGCCTGTAGAGGAATCGGGCACTGCCAGTCTGGTCCACTTGGCAAAAAGGTTGAACACCACTGCAGTAATCATTTTAATTTGTTCTTCTGGCAAGTACTACTTGCAATTCATGTTTTGACTGTTGCTGTTAACCAGAAGGCCTAGATTTGCGAGACAAATGTCATGCCCAACTTCATCAGCCATTTGTTAAATTTTAATAAACAATACAGGAGGAATTGATTGACTGTTGTTGAACCAGTATTACTAGTAAGAAATTGGAAAACTTCTATTGTACAATCATTTAGGTTTCATTGGAGAGCTTCAGTAGTGCTTCTAGTCTGTCGTTCTTGGATTGTATGGCAGGACTGGCTTTAGGATGGTTAAGTCATTGTCTTTCATTATTTGATGTCAGTTCTAGACTCCTACAAAAAGAGGGTTGTCCAGATACTGAGACTGCCTTAAAGGAAACAGTCATATATGTGTATCTAATTATATTTAGCATGCTAAATATATTCAATAACAACTCAGTATTACTTACGTTGACATTCTGATTTTTCTATATCAGCCTCAAAATAATTAACATTTTAATTGCTCAGTTTGGGAGTAATTTCATTTTGCTGCTTAGTATATTACACTTGTATATAATTTAGTCTCTCAAATATTGTTCCTAAAATCACCATCGGCCATTCACATCCAAAATTAATCTCATGTTTTCCATTGGCTAACTATTTCATTCTTCTACCACCAAGAGAACAGTAGGAAAAAATATTACATGTTCTTAGTATGGAATATAGCCAAGATTGGAAGGCAACAAACAATACAACAACACACAAGTAGTAAATTAAAAATGGCACTGCTATTGAGTGAGGACAGGCATCTGTTCATTCATTTGGAGAAAAAAAATCAAGGCTCAAGGGCTGAAGTTTACAGGTGTCTCCAAAGTGTATCGTATTCTAGCACAATTTTTTTTGTTTTCCCTTCCACGTAGGACCCTGCCTTGGTCAAGACCCCTCAACTCCCCCCTCCCCTCCAAAAAAAAAAAAAAAAAAAAAAGGTAGAATCTACTTCCTTTTTAAATACTTGCTGGAATGCCGTAACCCTGTGCTTTCAGCTCTGTAGTTGGAACAATACAAGTGTTGTTATCTGTTCAGTTGAAGTAGGCAATGTGGGGATTGGAGTTCCTCCAAACACCACTTTTCTCAGCAGCCTTCAGTACTGGAACTGGAGTGGGAGGCTGTTTGGATTAAGAAACTACTATAAAGTCAGTTATGAACAGAGAGGCTTGTAGGATTTGCAAAAAGAAATTCATGTTTTCATTTTTTTTTCCTCAACATCCCACATGCAGTCAAACCGGTTTTGTGGGATGAGAAAAGATGCATAAGCATGGGAGAGGCCAAGTGGTTAGTGTAGATGCTAGGTGTCTGCCTGTCTCTGAATTGGATGGTTAAGTATGTGGTTATTCAAGCTGCAGCCCAACAGAAAAGTTGCCTGAGCTGCATCGTTTGTGTTGGGATCTGAACTTTTCCCAAGATCATCATGTTCTGTCACGAGGCAGTGTCCTAAAGGGAGTGTGGGTTTCCCTTAATGAAGGGTGTACCCATCCTGGCTCACCTGTAAGTAATTTGATGATTATGTGGCAGTTGGGCAGCTAACGAGCACCTGGCCTTGCTAAAAGGCACTTGCCCAGGTGAGAGCTAGTTCCAGAGAAAGCTCTTGTAGGAAAGAAACTCTCAGGGAAAAGTGCTTAGCGAATACATCTCTGCTCTCAGCAGAGGAGATTCTCTACAGGGAATCAGTGCGTGGCTGGCAGGTGGACTTTTTAACAGAAGCTGCATCTCCATGAAAGAAATGAGGGTGATCTCCAACTAAAAGGCCTGGATATGGGTTGGTCACAGTGTAGCTACTCTGCAAAGCAACCTGGGGGGAAGTCTTCCTGCCTGTTGAACTTTTCTGCTAATAAGTCGTGTTCTTGGAAGATGACACAGCTTAGCATTCAGAAGCCTGAGAGGAATTCTGTACAACTCAGTGGGGACTTCAAGGTAGAATTCAACAGCAACATCATGCTTGATGGTAAGCAGGAGTGATGGTTTTGGACTTGTGCACTTTTTTTCTATCCACTTGTAGAATAACAAGGTCACACATCAAGTCTAAAAACTACCAGAAGCGTCCCCAGAAGGATTCACCTGCTCCATGTTTGACTCTAAGCCCTTGCTGTGCTATTGGTCTTTCTTCTCTGAACAGAGGTGAAGTTACCCTAAGGGAAAATTAAATTGGGACTGCTTTTGTTTTGTCACATGGGAAGTGATAAGCTGCACCAAGTCATGGCTTAGCTGTATCAAACTCAGGTACAAGTGTACCTAATATGAACTAAAAAGACACGTTTTGAGAATCCCATTAACTTCCTCTTTGAGTTGCACATCAGTGCGCATATCAAAACCTATTCAGGCCAGGAGATCCTCATCGTGCAGAAACATTCTTCAGAAGCACTGAGCTCGTCAACAGGTGCAGTTTGAAGGTGAGAATACTGCAATCAGCAGAAAATAGTGCTCTTTGAACGCATTAAGTGTGAATCAGAAAAGAAGGCTACTTGCCAGAAGAGGTGACAGATGGCTGTTTAGCAAGATAAGAAGGATCTGAGGTGGGATCATGCTGTGGTGGTTGATGAGAAGGGCATGACAAACCACTAGAGGGAAGTGCTGAAAGCACAGCATATCAATTGTAAGTATGTCTAAACTGCTCCATGTAGCTGCCAGAACCTCTTGGAAAGAGCAGTAGGTAGCCTTTGCATATTTATTTTGTGTACAGGACTAGCCTCTCACAATCTGGAGCTTTTAGATGTCATTTCTGTTTACAATAAGCAGCTCTCATGAGTGTGCTTTGAATTCATGTTTGCCTCAGATCTTTGCAATGCTGTGTTTCAACATACTCTGAATTTTTCAATGGTGCCTGAAAAAGTGAAATCTCTTCCTGCTATAACAGTAAACAATATACAGACAAGGTTCTTAGGTTAAGAGGGGAGCAGTGCTAGTGCCTGTGCCAAAGTCTGCATCCCCTCCAAGAGCATCAGCCATAAGAGCCCCAGGAGCAATCCAGGGAAGGAATTCTGGCTCAAAAAACCACAGTTTTCTTCTAGTTTCATCCTGCTCTGTGGGTGCAGTAATTTGTGCTAGTCTAGACCAGCACTAAATTGCTACTTTCTCTATCCTGGCCACAGAGTAGTAGTTGTAGTAGTAGCGCTCTCTATTCCCTGCCCAACACCTCCTTTGAGAAGGAATAAGTGAGCACATAAGTAGGTTGGTCTAATGGTTCAACAGCTACTCTGAGGTATGGGAGACCTCAGGGTCTGAATCCCTGTGGAAGTTTAATAAAGTCAGTTGGGGAAGAAGTTTTCCAAAGAGTAAACAAACAGTCCATGCACCATGTCTCGACTTTCAATGTAAGTAGTCAGCACCTGAACCCCTTGAACTGCAAAACATGCATTAATGAAATTCCCTACTCCCCAAGGAAACTAGGAAGATGAATACTTTAAAAGGGATCTGTGATGCATGTACTGGCCCTATAACACCAAGGATCTTAGCTGCATATTTTTGAGCACCATCTAGTGGCACTTTATCAAGAAGTAACTGTACATTTATAGGAACATCCCAACAGCTTGCCTTACATCTCTCTTGACTGTACAATTGGTCTAATAAAAAGATTATTAAAAAAAAAAACCCTTTCTCACATATTTCCTGGACCATTATGGCTACCACACAGAGAACACTTTCTTAACAGATCTCAGACGCCTGGGTCACTCGCAGTACTGATGCTACCACTGAGTCAGCTTAATAAAGTCTAGAAGGTTTCTTTTCCATCAAAATGCTAAGCAAGTCACCTCTGCTATATGGAAGTGAATAGGATCAAGACAGGGCCTGTCTTCCTCCATTTTGTGCAGGCTGCTGGATGTAATGCCATCCTTACTCCAGAATAAACTTTTGCAGTTCCTGAAAACAGC